CTCTCTCTCTCTCTCTCTCTCTCTCTCTCTCACACACACACACACACACACACACACACACACACAGAGAGAGACAGCTACAAATAAGAGATTAAGAATGTGAGATTAATTGAAGAGAATGGAGAGTTCAGAAATATACTCATGGTCACTCCATTTTTAACAAAGACCCAAGATAATTCAAAGGAGAAAGGTGTTTTCTACCAGTGGTCTTGGAAAAATTGGATTTTCATTTGGAAAAAACTGAACCTCAAACCTTCACCTCACTTTGTACATAAAAATTAATTATAAATGGTTCATAGGTCTAAATATAAGAGCTAAGGGCTGGGGATGTGGCTCAAGCGGTAGCACGCTCGCCTGGCATGCGTGTAGCATGGGTTCGATCCTCAGCACCACATACAAAGATGTTGTGTCCGCCAAAAACTAAAAAATAAATATTAAAAAATAAAACAAATAAATAAAAATGACATAAATATAAAAGCTAAGCTAACTAAAAAAAAAGCTTCTAGAAGAAAATACAGGAAGGGTCTTGTGACCTTGGATTAGGCAAAGATTTCTTAGAACTTGGCATGATGCTTCATGCCTTTAATTCCAGCCACACAGGGGACTGAGGAAGGAGGACCACAAATTCAGGGGTATCCTTGGGAATGTCTAAAAAAAAAAAAAAAATTTCATTAAGGCATAAAAAATAAGAACCATGAATTATACTTTATTGAAAATTAAGACCTTGGCTAGGGTGTAACTCAGTGGCAAAGTGCATGCTTAGCATCTACCAGGTCTTTTGTTCAATCCCAGCACCAAAAAGAAGGCAAGAAAATTAAAAGCTTTTACTCTTCAAAAGATCCTACTAAGAAAATGAAAGCAAATTATAGATGGGAGAAATATTTATAAAATGTTTTTCAGAGAAATATATCTTGTATCCAAAATATGTAAAGAATTCCTGCAACTCAACAGTAAGAAGCCAGTACAGTTTTTACAACCAACAAAAGAAGATTGAGGATATAGCTCAGTGATAGAGAGCCTGGCATGCACTGGTCCCTGGGTTCTATCCCCTGCACTGCGGAGAGGGGAGCAGGGAGGAAACCACCTAGGACGAAAAGATTTGAATAGATAGACACTTACCAAAGAAAATACTTGCACTTGAAAAGATGGTTAACATTATTACACTAGAAAAGTGCAATTTTTAAATCATAGGGCTGAGGGTGTAGCTGTGTGGTTTTATGCTTGCCTAGGATGTGTGAGGCCCTGGGTTCTATCCTTAGCACCACAAAAAATACCCCAAGATGAGATATTACTATTTCTGATAGAGTGGAGGGAATTTAAAAATACAGTGGCAAATGCTTGTGAGCAGAGTAACTAGAGCTCTCATATGTTGCTGGTAGGGGTTCAAAATGTTGTAGCCATCTGGAAAAGAGTATGGCAGTGCCTCAAGAGCAAAACATAACATTACCACGTAAACCATCAGTCTCACTTCCATGTACTTTCAGAGAAATAAAGAAATACCTCCACACAGACTTGTATGCAGATATTCATAAACAAAACAACCTAGATATCCTAACAAAGCAGAGCAACTTCAAAAGTATGCTAAGTATAAAAAGCCAGACACAAAAAGGTACACAGTGTATGATTCCACTGATATGAAATTCTAGAAAAGACAAAATTACAGTGACAGAATCAGATCAGGGTTGTCTGGGGTCAGTGAGGAGTTAGGGAGAAGAGCAAGTGAAGTGGGAAACGGAGTTTCAGAGGTGATGGAAATGTTCTGTATCTTGATCATGTTGGTTACGCACTATAGATACATTGGCCAAAATTCATTGAACGTTGGGCTGGAGTCGTCACTCAGTGGTAGAGTGCTTGCCTGGCATGTGGGAGGCCCTGTGTCAATCCTCAGCACCACATATAAATAAATAAAAGATCCATTGACAACTGAAAAATATAAAACCTTGAAAAAAAACACTCATTGAACGTGTCAGACATGTGGCACAAGCCTATGCCAGTGACTCAGGGAGCTAAGGCAGGAGGATCACAAGTTTGAGATCAGTCTCGGCAACTTAGGCTCTATCTCAAAACAAAAAATAAAAAAGGGCTGGGGATGAGCTGGGTGGTAGGGTGACCTGGGTCAATCCCCAAGCAACTTAGCCAAAAACAAGAATAAAACATAAATGATTGGGTTTTATTGCCTGTGAATTATGCTACAGTCATTGTTTTTTTAAAAAGAAAAAATATTGTGGAAAGAAACCACCACTTCCTGTCTGACTTATTATATAAAGACAAACACAGATCTGCCCATATTCAATCAGTTGTTAGACTGAAAGGACTGCCACTGGCACCTGACTGAGTGATTTTCCACTGAGACCTTATTGTAGACACCAGAAGACACATCCCAGGGGTTAGTCAATAGACAACTAACCATAAAAAGTGAAAAGGAGTCTGAATGTGGTCCAGTCACTAACCCTGCACTGTGATAGAAGAGTCATGTGTTGGCGTGTGACCTTGGTTCAACCAAATTAAGTGTGTCAGTTGAGATATTTTTAAAATTTTGAGATTTGTATGAGAAAAAGAAAAAGGTTTTACCCCTTTTCCTGGCATAGACTTTGAGGGGGAAGCCATTTCTTTAGTAGGATTTGTTTGGCATTGGTAGGGGCATGAAATCTTACTAGTTGGAACTCTACTAACTGGAAATTTGGGACAGCTGGGAAAATACATGGCTCTGTGTCTTATTTAAAGTCCATCTGAAAAAGAACCTGTCCAACAAAATCTGTAGGGCAATCATATCACCAAGGGAGTGGCTCAAAGTGTTTAATGTTTAAATAGGCGTCAGATTGTATGTTCTATATTAACAAAGAACCTGGGTGGGGAAAAAAGCCCAAGTTCGTGTGTGTGTGTGTGTGTGTGTGTGTGTGTGTGTGTGTGTGTGTGTGTGTATTTGTTTCTAAAGGATACACCTGAAATGGGAATAGGAAAGAGAATGAATCAGACATTACTCTCCTATGTGCACATATGAATATAATGACCAATGTAATTCTACATCATGTACATCATGTATGTATAACATGTCAAAATACATTCTGCTGTCTTGTATAACTAATGAGAACAAATCATGAATATAGCTGTTTTAAAAAAAAGAAAAGAAAAAAAAGGATACACCTGAGTCAAAATAACCCAGAACATGACAATAGGATGAGAAGGAATATTTTAGGCAAATGCTGACAAAAGTACTATAGCAGCATTAGAGTGGGGTAAAATAGACTTCAGATGCCTGAAAGACATCATAATTTACTAAAAGATCAGTCCTGAATGCTTATAGATAGAAATTTGAAATATATAAAGAAAAAACTTACACATTACAGTTGAGCTGTTGACAAACCCATAGCTGTCTTCATGGGAGACTTGACTTATTTCTCATAAATCATTAGGTCTAGTGGATAGAAAATCAATAATATAGTTAGATACATATAATGGAGAGTACACATAAGCTTACAAATCAACTTGTAGAAGTTGATTTTAAGTCAGTCTACAAAGAAAATCTTAATAAAATAGGGATGTAATAAGTTTCTTCCCTCTTAAGGAGATACTGTATGTAAAAGCTCCTAGCTTTGAACACTCAGGAGATATTTGTTCTAATATCCCTGTTTATTTCTTTTATTCTAGGAACTGCAGCAGTAGGACACACAGACAAGATTGGACGTTTGAAAGAGCTCTGTGAGCAGTATGGCATATGGCTTCACGTGGAGGGGTAGGTGGATAGGAGGTTGTGTGGCTCTTTGTTGGGCCTATACATAGTCTTCATGAACACAGACCTCCAGGGCGTCCCTAACACCACAAACAAGAAGAAGCAGCAGCATGGACATCCAGGCCTCTCTGTAGTGACATCATTAAGGGTTCTTTTGGTTACAGATAACAAAATAACCCAAATTGACTAAAGCAAAAGAGATTTAATTTAAAAGACCAGTACTAGGATTGACTTCAGATATACTGTCAACCAGAATTCAGTGTCTTCCTCCCACCTGTGTTTCCCCAGTCACAGTCCCTTGGCTCGGTGTCCTGGGTATGGGCTGAGTGAAGGGACTTTCCTACGATAGTGCATGATAACTGCACAGACTGCAGCCTTCCTTCCAGCAGGGCAGAGACCTCATGAAGTGGAGTGCTCGCACAGTCTAGGCTACATGCCCACTTCAGGAGCAGGCGATGTCTCCAGCTAAAGCTCATGTTCTGGTAGAGGAAATTGGGGTGTATCTCAGAAGGCCATTGGAGTGTCTTTAAGGGAAAGGTGGGAAGCCGATGCAGGGCAACCAGAGTGGTGATCGTGCCCACCACATCATCCATGGTAGGTTTCTTTTTCATCTCCAAAAGAACAATGTCTGAGAAAGAGTAGCTGTGAAAGATGCAGAATGGTTATGCCTGACTCAGTAAACAGGGATATGCTCTGAGGTATTTTCAAGTTTTTCTTGGAATTTATATCATCTACCTGTTCCTTTGCTGTCATATAAGCTAACAGCAACTGAAAGACATTTACATGTCACCCTGCAAAAAAGCCTTCACTTTTTTGGAAAGTGCATATTTAATGAATCAGTAATATTACGTGATTAGTTCTTAGATTGGTGTTTTTTCTTCTAGTGTGAATCTGGCAACATTGGCTCTAGGTTATGTCTCCTCGTCAGTGCTGGTATGTTCTTGATTTACTAAATATTAATGTTTTTAAGACGGAATTAAAATCTTTCAATTCTTGGTGGCTTTTTTTTTTTTCAAAGTGTTTTTAAATGGAAGAGGGAGTTGGGTTTAGTGTGTTCTGATAATCTAATGAAAATTCCTCCTCTTCTTGGTAGGCTACAACCAAATGTGATAGCATGACACTGACTCCTGGTCCGTGGCTGGGTTTGCCGGCTGTTCCTGCAGTGACTCTCTACAAGCATGATGATCCTGCCTTGGTGAGCTTGTCCTCTCTGGAGTGGGGAGTGGCTGATACTCATTATTGGCTTTAGGGACAATTTTGGAGGCTAAAAATCCAGATAAGTGGCTCTCTCTGGTCTGCTTGTTTTTTTGTTGTTGGTGGTGGTGGTGATGGTGGTTGTTTCTTTTTAATACTGGGGATTGATTCCAGGGGCACGCTACCGCTGAGATACATTCCCAAACCGGCTAGCATCAGACTTATGCTCCTCCTGCCTCAGCCTCCTAAATCGCTGGGATTAGAGGCATGTTCCATAGTGCCTGACTAGGGACAAAATATAGAATAAAAGAGTGAAAGTTTTCTTGATTTTACTTTTTTTTTTCCACACAGGTGATCCATATCATACAGATTTTTCTATTATGCACCTCATTCTTCCCTATGTATAGGAAGAATTTTTTATGACATTTTATGACTGCATAATAATCAGCCACTTAAGTGTCAGTTTTTTTTATCATGATATATCTTGTGAATTTGTTGGATGTTTTCAGGTTTTTGTGACTGAAATAATGAGACAATGAACATCTTTCTGTATTTCAAATTGTTCCTTAGAATAGGTTCCCAGAAGTAGAATTACTGAGTTGTAAATATTTTAAGGTCTCTGATCCCCATTGTCTAGTAGGATGGAACATGGTATTTTTTAAAAAATCAGAAGTTGTTTCTGATAGTAAGTTAATGGCAGGCATATACAAACTACATGTTAAGTGATTATTGCTAAAATAGTTGATGTCTTGCTCATTTGATTTTGACCGGGTATTCAAGGATGCTCAGAGCACCCTTGCAAGTAGCTGCCTCTTGAATGGCTGAGAGCTCTGGCTCAGGCATATGACCCATCTGGATTCTCTTCCTGGCTTTGCCACCACTCACCTCTAAACCTATGGATAAAGCCAGGACTCTGAACTAAACTACCTGGAATGAATTCCTTGTGGAGTTGTGGGGAGGTCAAATGGATAAAGAAAACAAAGCATGCAGTAGCATCTGTCACATAGTAAGTGTGTGTAAATGGTAACTGTATAGTTCTGAGGATCCAGTGTCTTGGATTAATGCACCCATATTGGCTTTTTCAGACATTAGTTGCTGGTCTTACATCAAATAAGCCAGCAGACAAACTCCGTGCCCTGCCTCTGTGGTTATCTTTACAATACTTGGGACTTGATGGGATTGTGGAGAGGATAAAACATGCCTGTCAACTGGTGAGTAGAAACCTGAAGTTTAAATGAATCACAAAATCTCCTTAACAAAAGCAGAGACAGAAAAATTATGCATTTGTGTACCTGCCATCCAGGACCTCATCATCTGAATTTACCATCTCATAAACTATCAGACTTCCTGCCCTGTATGTATATGTTTCTTGTTGGAAGATCTGGGAGCAGCTGCTGGCATTGACTCAGAATTTTGGGCTGGATAAAATCAGATTAAAAGAAGATAGGCCTGCTGGCACACACCTGTAACCCCAGCCACTTAGTGGATTGAGGCAGGAAGATCACTAGTTAAAGGCAAGGGTGGACAACTTTTCAGAGACCCTGCCTCAAAAGAAAGGGCTGGATGTGTAGCTTAGTGGTAGAGCACCCCTGGGTTTAATTCCCAGTATGAGGGGGAAAAAAAAAAAAGATTAAAAGGAAAACCACTGTCAGCTTAGAATGAGAAAAGAAGTCACAGAATAACTTCCAGGGAGAGAGAGGATGCAGAAGAATAAACACTCCCTTTGGTTGATCCTTCAGGGTAACAGAATGTGAAGGTTAAAGGTAGAATATGGATGACATGCATATTTTTAACACCCTGGCATCGGTTCCCAAATTGCAGGGTTCTGGGGTCAGTTCTAATTCTCCTTGCATTTGAAGTGTTCTAATTTTGAAAAGTTTATATAATTAATGCTGTAGTTGAGTATCCAGTCCATTTGGTTGCTATACCAAAATATCTTAAGCTAGGTAACTTAACACCATAAATTTATTTCTTACAGTTCTAGAGGCAGAGAAGTCTCTGATACCAAGAGATTGAGTGTCTGATGAGGGCCTCTTCATTATATATGGTGCCTCTGTCTGTCTTCACATGGCAAAAGGGGAGAACAGACTCCAGTCCCTTTTATATATACCTTCACTAATTCCATTCATGAGATTCCAGAAGAAGACCCTACCTTTTAATACCGTTATATTGGGGTTTTAGTTCAATATAGGAATTGTGGGTGATACAAACATTCAGGCTATAACTTTTAGAAAGCAAACAAGTAGCATTTGTACGGTATGAAAATTGAACTCTACTCAAATTCAGAAGCATGGTGTCACCTTCAACACCTCCATTTTCCTCTCCTGTGAGATAGGGATATAATTTTACTAAAGATTATTATATGAGGACCTAATGAATTAATGTATGAAAGTGCCTGATCACACAGCAAGTTATAAATATATGTTTAAATCATTGTTTTAAATATTTTCTTGGATTGGCAATAGAGCTCATTGGTAGAACACACATATATATATAGCTTGCACAAAGGATTGCTTCACAGCACTTAAAGATATATGTACTTGTGTGTATATATTACATATGTAATATTGAGCATCCTTGCAAGCAGCTGCCTCTTGAATATTATATGTGTGTGTGTGTGTGTGTGTGTGTGTGTGTGTATGCATGCATGCATGCACATATGTGTGTATTCATTCTTAGGGAATCGGTACTTCCTCAAGTGTTATTTTTATATTTTAAGAAAAACTAGCATTTTCTTATTTCTCTGACAGTGGCCCTTTGATTCTATAGGATAGTTCCCTAAAAAATAATTTTAAGATTTATGTTTATAAAAGCAGCATATTTTTAAAATAGTATTCTTGTGCTATTAGCTCATGTCTCGGTTTGGTTTTTATGAAAAAGGAGCCTTTATTGCCCTAGTAACTTAGTCAATTTAGGGAAAAGGCTTGGGCTCTCAGGAGAGTTTTTTAATTCCCTTTGGCCTGTGGGGTGCAGGAAAATAATGATGACACTAACTACCCAACCCTTGAGGTCACTATAGCTCTGGCATGTTCCTGAAAGCAAAACCTGTGGCTGATCTCAGATACTCATGAGGATTTCACTGATCCCCTGCTGCTGACTCACTGTTCCAAGTGCACACATTAAACTGCATGGACTTCAGCAGTATCGTCTTCTGTGTCATTTCATGCTTTACAGTCCATTTTTCTCATACTTTCCCTGGGGGCAGAAAGCAATCTTCTCCCCCACCTCCTTAACAGCAGCAGCAACATCTTCATGGGTAGCAGTTCCGGAATGTTTATTCAGTGCCAAGCACTGGTGAAGCACTTCACATGCATCCACTCATTTGACCCCCCCCCCCAAAACTACACTAGGGTGTAAGTTCCATTGATAACAGCATATTAAAAATTGGGTATTAGGCTGAGCATGGTGGTATGTGCCTGTAACCCCATGAGACTGAGGCAGGAGGATGGCATGTTTGAGCCCCATCTGGGCAACTTAGCAAGACCCTGTCTCAAAAAATAAAAGAAAGGACTGGGGTTATAGCTCATTGGTAGGATGCCCCTGGATTCAATTCTCAGAGCCCCCCCACCCCAAATTAGGTTTCATGAGGGGCTGTCCAGAGTCAATGCTCAATGAATACCTGTTGAACTAAGGCATCCATACTGCTGTTATCCCAGCCTGGTGACAAGGGAACTGGAGTTGAGACATTCTGCAGTGGTGATGATGGCGGTCATCATTTCCGTAGTGCACGCTGTGTTCTAGACATTGTTCCTGAGCACATAATGCATATTGGTGCACATTTGATTTTCACAATCCAGTAAGATGCCATCTTAAAGTTGAAGGAACTGGAGCACAGAGGCTTAAATAATGTATCCAAGGTCATAGCTAGTAAGTACCAGGCTGGGTGACTTATCCTGGTCCTCAGATGGCAAGTGATGGAGCCATGCCCCAACTAGTACACAAGCATGATGTGTTCCCTTGGTTGTCCTTGTCTCCTCCACCAACAGTCAGTGCCTTGCCTTGCTCATGTTTGTACTCAAGTGGCTTTTGCTTTGTTTTGTCTTTTCCCCTGGAACTGGGAATCCAACTCAGGGCCTTGTGCACGCTACACAAACAGCCTGCCATTGAGCTACACCCTGAGCCCTTATTTTTTATTTTGAGACAGGGTCTGTTGAGTTCTCCAAGCTGCCTCAAACTTGTTATTTTCCTGCATCAGCCTCCCAAGTAGCTGGGATTATAGGTGTGCACCACCACATATAGCTAAACTTTATAGTTTTTTAAAATAAATTACTTACATTGCTAATAGGACAGATTCACATGACTCGTTTGAAAGAGCTTTTCTTAAATCTGGGCGTGTAAATTTTAACTGAAAGATTGAAGAATGTTTGCAGATTTTGAATTGCAAAAATTGGCAGTCAGAATTTAGAAATCACCAAATTACAGATTCCTTTGTCTGCCTGAGATTTTTATTAGCAGACCCTCAATGACCCTCATGAAAATTTGCTAATATGTTGTATCAATCTAATGAAATTACACAAATTGTTGTTTGTCATTTGCAGAGCCAACGGTTACAGGAAAGTTTGAAGAAAGTGAACCACATCAAAATCTTGGTATAGTATATAATTGCCTCTGTTTCTGAAATAAGTAACTTTTTTTTTTAACTTCAGTAATAGAATGATTTTCTACAGATGTAATATATATCAGTTGAGTTATAACAGCTCCAAGTAAATAAAACCAGAATCTTTGGAGAGATACATGTGTGAGTTAATAACCTCATTATACAGATAGCTCAAGAGGAGAAATGTATACCATACAATTTTTAAATTCCTATAGTGCTTTCATGTCATCCATTATCCTGTTATGATTTAGAATTGCACAAAGGTCTTACAAGCACCAATGTCTTCACCTATCCAAGAACACTAGAACACCCATCTTCTGAAATGAGAAAGCCTTCTGTGTCTCAGAATACTTTGGGCTACTTTTTCTGAAGCCTTCTGACACCAGAGTTTTCATTTGCATGAAGGAGAATGAGGAGAAAAGCAAGGGGACCTGCTCTTCTCCTCGTGTCTTCCTACAATGAATCTCTCAGAGATTGCTCCCTCTATCCTGAGACAAGGAAATGAGAAATTTTGCAGTCCTAAAAACCAAGAATGTGTATCAGTTCAGGTGGGCATGTTTTCATGTTTTATTTTATATTTTAGAATTTCATTGTATTTTAGATTTTTATTAAAAATAGACTTACTGTTTCTTTGATAATTCTTCAGAGTACAGTTCAATTTAAAACTCCTAAGTTGCTGGGATTATATATTTGAATTTATTTGAGGCTCAACTTGGTATAGTGCATTTATTCTTTAGAACAAGGCTGGGTGGGGAGACTCTGCGTGGATCCACTTGACCTGAATTCTAGATGGGGGAACCTTACTTCAAATATCACACTGGAGAAGGAACAGGGATGATTCCAAGTCAGGAGACTTTTAAGTTCTGCTCTCAGTAGTGCCATTGGGTAGCCCTATGACACTGAGTCATTTTCTTAATCTTTTGAGCCTGTGATCTCAGCTGTTAAATCAAAGTATGTTAGATTCTACTGACTGCAAAGAGAAAGACCCAAAGTATGGATCAGACTGAGCAAGCTGTTGGGAATCAAGGCAATGCAGAGCCTGGATTCTTCTCTGGTTCTGCTTTACAAACCCACTCCAGTATTTCCTCAAGTCCTCTCTCCTCTGAGTAAGAGGAGTTTAATGGTATTAATTAATCACCAGTTTCTTGGTTTGGTTTTGGGGGTTTTTTGTTTGGGGGGTCAGGGGGGATTGGAGATTAAACTCAGGGCCTTGTACATGCTAGGTAAGCACTCTGCCACTGAGCTACATCCCCAGCACTGCCCCCTTTTTTAAAAATTTTGAGATAGGGTCTCTCTAAGTTGCCCAGTCTGGCCTAGAATTTGTCATCCTCTTGCATCAGCCTCCTAAGTAGCTGGGATTACAGGTGTGTGCCCCTGCAACTAACCAATGACCAGTTCTTTTGGAGCATCTTTATAAGGCCACACATAGCCCAGAGGTAACCCTGCTCCATCCCTTCTTCCAGCAGCTGTTTTTTTCATAGAGGATACAATAATTGGCAAACATCACAAAGCACTGTGGTCCTGTCAGTCGTCCTCATTATCACCATCGCAGTTGCTCCTTGGGATATGCTTCCTGAGTACCTGCCTGCACCACCAGTTTACCGTTGCAGCGGCCTCCCTCTGCCTAGAAACATTCATTGCTCCCAGTTTTTCTCGTGACTGCTTTCTTAGCTTTCATATCTTACTTCAAATATCATCTTTTCAGAAAGGCTTTTCCTGACCACCCTAAGATAACCTCCCACTGCCATCTATCATTCTATCCCTAGGTTTTTTTCCTTCTAGGGTGTACTTATTACTCTCTGAAATCATGTATCTGTTCATTGACTTTTTTCCTGCAGAAGCTCTTGAACACTTTATGCAAACTCACTACTATCCCTCATGTGTGCCATCCATGCTCCTTCTTCCCTGCAGCTCAGCTTACAATTTTCTTTCTGAATTAACCTTTGTTGTGAGCCCAGCAGTAGTTTAAACTTTTTATCATTGTAGTTATATTTAATCCAGTATTCAGATATTTAAGAATTGATAACTTCAGCGTTAGCCCAGTCTGCCATGTTTCTAGAACTAGAAGTTTATATTTATAGCCTTGTGCCGTCTTCCTTAGGCTTATCAACACTTGAGACTGGAGTTCAAGGAAAGCAGTCAGTCGTAATATACATAGAAGTCATAGCACTCAAATTATTCTTCCTTAACTGAAGATTGGGAACACCTTTTTTGTTCCTACTTGTTTATTAGGCTTATCACACTGATCTATTTAAATATTGAGCCCCCGTTTCTTTAAAAGTATTAACAATTTTATTTATGTAAAAGTTAAAGGAGGTAACAGAATCTGAGAGCATATTAGCATAGGAACTAGCTCATTAAATAATTGGCAGATTTGAATATAAATCTTAATCAGAATTATATTCACAAGGCCTTATGAAAAGTTTTGGGGTCAGCTACTTCCTGTCTCTTCAAGTTAGCATTTCCTGTTGTGGCCCTACGTGTGAGTCATCATACTCTGCCTTGGAGCATGAGTTTCATGACTAGAGTTATAGTGCTGCTATTGTTGAATGCTCAGAGAACTTCTCCCCCAGAGATGCACCGCCCCCCCACCCTCAGTCACCCACAGAGGCTGCCAAGGACATTGCTGCTCACCGTACCCTGACCCCATGGCGAAGCTGATGGCTGACCACTTGTTTGTTCAGTGGAGAGCAAGGAACTTCTGCCGAATTTTCATAATCCAGTGAATGTTTTCATCTATTATGAAATCCATTAATGTGGTCAGTTGATGCCTGTTTTGTATAAGTAGTGATTCTGAGTACTAAATATAAGTAAATATATTTAGAAAATACATATACAGTTCTAGATTGTGGGTGTCTATATTGCCTGCAGGTCTTGCATTCTGCTCTGGAAATTTTACAAGGTGCAGAGAAAGTACTTGTTCTCCCTGCCACTGAGGGTATAAAAAGTTTTAATAAATCCTGAATAATTTCTGGAATTCTTGAAAGCATTTGTAGGATGATTCTAGCTCTACTTTTCCCATACTTTTTGGATCTTTAATGGTAGAACTATATTTATCTATTAATATTCAGAATTCTTCCTGATTTAATGTCAGTGTACATTGTCAGAGGCTAACCCTAGAATCCACAGAGTACTGTCAGCCTGGTTCATAGGTACACCTAAAAATTTTATCAAGTTTTTGCTTTTGTGTACAAAATGGAGATCTCTAGCCTATTTTCCAAACTCAGTGTTTCATTCTGTGGGTGTTTGGAATTTGCCATCACTTGGTAATCCCAGACTTCTGTTTTTGCAGGTAGAAGATGAGCTCAGTTCTCCAGTAGTGGTATTCAGATTTTTCCAGGAATTACCAGACTCAGGTAGGTCATTTTTAATAGAGGGTTATTTTCATTTATGTATTTAAGGGCTTTAAATTTGATACTATTTCAAGTTAAATAGTCAAAAATATTTTTGAGGGCTGGGGATATAGTTCAGTGATAGAGCACTTGCTTAGTACTGGTCTAATCCTCAGTACCACTAAAAAACTAATACAATTTTTAAAAAATTATAGTTTGTTATGATTAAACCAGTGGTTACTAAATGCCAGTTTCTGGACCAGTCCTAGAATGGCTAAGAAGAGTCACTTGAAAATAAAGATTCTTGGGTTCTATATCCTAGATATTTTGATTTGGTAGTTTAGACCTAGGAATTTCTATTTTTAAATAAGTCCCAGCTGGGCATGGTAATACGTGTCTACAATCCCAGTGGTTCAGGAGGATAACAAGTTCAAAGCCAGCCTCAGCAACTTAGCAAGGCCCTAAGCAACTCAGCAATAGCCTGTCTCTAAATAAAATATTTAAAAGGGCTGGGAATGTGGCTCCATTGTTAAGCGCCCTTGGGTTCAATCCCCAGAACCAAAAAAAAAGAAATCCCAACTGCCACCAACTTAGTCCAGGGCATCACTGTTTTTTACCTCGGTGGCCACAGTCCCCATCTAGCTGATCTCTGACTTCCTCCTTTCTACATAGCCCCTTCCAGACCATGCTCCACGGGGCAGTGAGTGAGCGTTGTAAGTGGAAATCACAGCATATGTTCCCTCCAGAGCCATCAGTATGTGTCAGCTGAATGAAGTCCAGGCTCTGTCCCATGCCATGTCATGTTCTTCCCCGACTTCCTCTGACACCTCTTGTCATTGTGCCTCAGACAGACTGGTCTTCTCCACATTCCTACAATGCTCTTTGCTAGCATGTGGCCATGGCACTTGCTCTTCCCTCTACTTCAAACACATTTCCTCTTGCTCTTCTAGGGACTGGTTCCTTACCATTTAGGTCTCCACTAGCTGCCCACCTCCTCCGTCTGTCCTGTCTGAAATGACTCCATCGTATTAGAGTCCCTGCCTTCTTTCATGGCACTAGCAATGACATAGTGGTTGGTCTTTTTTTTAATATTTATTCATTTGTTTTTAGTTATAGGTGGACACCATACCTTTATTTTACTTTTTTTTAATGTGCTGAGGATTGAACCCAGTGCCTCACGCATGCTAGGCAAGCTCTCTACCTCTGAGCTACAACCCCAGCTCGTGGTTTTCGTTTTCTTTATGGTCCATTTCCTCAACGAGAATGTAAGCTCCAAGATGAATGTGCACATTCAAGATGTCTGGCACATTCTTAGTCATGAATAAGTTCCCAAACCATTTAAGAGCTGAAGGGTAATTTTTGTGAAACCCAATGTGGATGCTGTTGGGAATTCTGACCTTGCATGATGCTGGTTAGACTGGTTGTTAACCTTCAATTTTTTTTGTTGTTGTTTTGTTTTGCTTTTTTGGATTGCCTTTCAAAATTTCTTGAAAACAGCCATTTTTAAAAATGAAATAATTCAGTTTCTGTGACTGTATTCAGCTGTTACATGAGGGGAAAAAGGTGTGGAACATTAAATCTTCTGTCAGACACATTTGATTTCAATAATATGAGACTGTTTTCATATTGGGATCTAAGTGGAGTGGGGTTTCACTATGATGTTTCTTTTAGCTAGCCATGTTTCTAAGAGTGAATCCTCCTGTGTTTTGGCCTCAGATTCAGTGCTTAAAGCTGTCCCAGCACCCAACATGGCACCTTCAGCAGTCAACCGAGAGAGGCACTCCTGCGATGCGCTGAATCGTTGGGTAAGGAAAGCGCCGGTCTGCTCCCTTGTACATCCCAGAGCATCACCACCTGGCCTCCTAGCTGAGACAGCACAAGGTCACGCATGAGAAATCTGACTCACAGGCAGGGAGTCTCCTAGGAAGGCACTTGGCTTGTTCTGGGCTCTGCTCTGAATCGGATCCCCACCTCCCATGCTGACCTCTGGCAAGTCTTGGGCCTCCTTTCCTTACTTTACTCACATGACCACTGTTGCTGTCTGCGCCTGTAAAACAGCAGATATGGGCTGCAATGCTGCTGCTTGGGTGTGGGGTGAGGTCCAAGCCATATCAGAAGCACCTGGCCAAGTCCATGTGTGCCTGTGGTAGGCTGACAGTGCCAGGCTGACAGTGCCAGTCCAAAGCTACATGCTCAGCCGCTTTTTGGATACTGCAATACTACTAGGATCACAGTCTCAGTCATGTTCTAGACAGCATGTGGCTGCTGTCCACAGCACTGCCAGGGTTTGGTAAGTTACGGTGCATCTTTGCAAAGCAGGTCATAACAGCTATTATAAACCCTGGTTAAAGCAGATGGAAATGAATTAAATTAGAATGAAAAATGAATGAAATTAAATGAAAACTTCAGGTTACTCAAGTGTGTGTAGAATATCATGTTTTATGACAAACACTCCACTCAGAAAAGATCCAAATATCAACAGTTGGTGTTTTTGAGTGGTGTGTTATGGGTAATTTTTACTTTGTGGTGTTGGGTTACCTGCATCTCACATTTTTTTCTACAGTTAACTTGTATTAATAAGAAAAAAATGTAAAATGTGCCATTTTTAAAAACAACTAACTCATAAGTATTTAGAGACAGTCTGAATATGAAAGGACACCAGCTCTATAAGCCTGTGATCTGGGCTGAGTGGGTGAGGGGAGGTGGGGGACACTCGAGTCCTATGTGGTAGGAGCTGATGTGCTGTCCTTGTCCCACAGCTGGGAGAGCAACTGAAACAGCTGGTACCTGCGAGTGGCCTCACCGTCATGGACCTGGAAGTCGAGGGCACGTGTATACGATTCAGCCCTTTAATGACAGCTGCAGGTAAACAGTCTCGTGGATTTCCCTCATTTTTATTCCAGAGGGAGTGGTTCCATGTCCATTAAAGTCCACGCTGCTGCTGATTGATTAACTTTTTTTGACATTTGGTTCTGTGGTTTCTATCAGTCTGTCTTTCTTGGAGATGGAGATGGTAACTGGGAATCGAATCCAGGAGTGCTTTGCTCTCCCTAAGTTGCTGAGGCTGGCCTTGAACTTGGGATCCTCCTATCTTAGTCACTGGTATTACAGTGGTGCACCACCACACCCAGCTCCAACATTCTTTTTGGAAGGGCTTTAACTTTTCTTTTGGACTACATTTAGGTAGATTAACATTCTAGTGTAACATCTCAAAAATAGAATGAGACTTCTGAAATCACAAATTCCTATGCTCTGATATTCTGTGACCCTGGTTTTTCTGTTTTAATGATTCTTACTCCCAACTGCATGTTTGAATCACCTGCAGGACTTAACAACTACCAGGCAGCTGGGCCATCAACAGAGAATCTGATTTCTTAGGTCCAGGAGTGAAGCCTGGACATCAGTATTTTTTTTTCAATTGCATTTTGTTGTTGCTATATGTATTTAAGGTATACAACAGTATGTTTTGGTACTCAGAGGTGAAGACCTAATACAAGGCAAGGTATAAAGAAAGGGCACAGAGCTCCCATGCCCTCTCCTTACGCACCATCTTCCAAGAGCTTCCATGTGTCCCACTATCCAGAAGATTCCCCACAGATTCCAGTAGGCCAGTGAAGGTTGAGAGCCACCTTTTTAGACTTTTCAGAAAGCAGTGTAGTTCAAAATGTGTTTCATGACAAAGCCCTGGGGACATGTATCTTCCTTCTCAGCCACTAAATGCCTGTGGGACCTTGAGCAAGATTCTTGCTCTCCAGACGTTCCCCATTACCTCACAGTAGCAAAATGAAGACTAAACAACAGGAGAAATAACTGTGGTGTGCTGTTGCACAGTAGGGTGACCTCTGATGACAATAATGTTCTATACATTTCATAACTAGTAGAAGGTCTTTGAATGCTTTCCCACATGTGAGTGATAAGTGTGTGAGAAGATAGAGATGCTTACCCTGATTTGTACACTACAGTGTGTACATGTATCAAAATATCACCTGGTACCCTATGAATATGTACAATTTTTATGTGTCAGTTTTTTAAAAATCATCTGGAAGAAAGTAAAAATATGGTGGTACTGTGAGAGATGATCTAAATATTTTCAGAAAATGTTTGGTGGTTTTTCATGAGATGGGTTCAACTTTTGGGGGATGATATTTTCTCAACGCCATGAAAGCAAGAAAATGCAGGCATTTGTCCTGCAAAAAAGAGGCCATTGGGGCTGGGGTTGTGGCTCAGTGGTAGAGTGCTTGCCTAGCATATATAAGGCACTGGGTTCAATCCTCAGCACCACATAAAAAATAAATAAAGGATTGTGTCTATCTACAACTAAAAAAATACTTAAAAAAAGAAAAATCCATTATTATGGAGATTGCTGATGGCCTCACCACCAGCCTTGGAGGCTGAGTCTCTGAGGCTGGAGAAGCCAGCTGAGGACATCCTGAGCTTGCTGGGATTCGTGGCTGAATGGAGGGAAGGATGGGGGAGTAGTATCCCAAGACACTTACACCCAAAGCCCTAACACCTCTTAGCACTTGGTTGAAATGATGGTATTGTCACCATCCCCTGCCCTTCCTGGTATATCAAACAAATCTACCAAAACACTTTACTTTCACTCCATTTGTAGTAATGTGGAGAGAGGACCTGTGGTTCCTTTTTGTGTTTAACCTGTGAAAGGATATTTATGACCCGATCAAAGCAGTCTTTCTGTGAGAAGAATCTGGTTTCTACATTAGAGAATTTGATTGTGTATTAAAATTACCTATGAGCTGGGCACAGTGGCACATACCTGTAATCCTAGTGGCTTGGGAGGTTGAGGAAGGAGGATTGCAAATTTAAAACCAGACTCATAAATTTAGCAAGATCCTAAGCAACTTCATGAGACCCGGTCTCAACATAAAAAGGGCTGGGGATGTGGCTCAGGGGTTAAGTAGCCCTGGGCTCAATCCCTGGTACCAAAAATAAATAAATAAATAATCTTGTATGGGGGGAGAGCATATTTACACCTGAAACAGCTGGCTATGTTAATTTTTAATGTGATTCTTTCATATCTAGCTGAGTGGCTTTTTTAAAAAAAAAAAAAACTCCTCAGCTGCAGCCAGCTGGATGTACCTAGAGCCTTTGACCTTGCTAAGAGTAGAAGGGGAGCCCTTCTTCTCACTGTTAACCATTCCTTAAGCATTTCTTATACATCCTGTGAATGTTTTCAGTTTTAGGAACTCGAGGAGAGGATGTGGATCAACTAGTAGCCTGTATTGAAAGCAAACTGCCAGTCCTGACCTGTACCCTACAGCTGCGTGAAGAGTTCAAGCAGGAAGTGGAAGGGATGGCAGGTCTCCTATATGTTGATGACCCCAACTGGCCTGGAATCGGGGTTGTCAGGTAAAGGTCTGGCTGGCCACGGGATGAAGATGACCTGGCTGTGTCAAGCACATTTTGTGAACCAGCTTAGAAATCCAAGATGAATATAAGTCATAGCATAGTTATCTATTGAAAACTCACCTAGGCATTCTGGACATGCCCAGCACACACAGGTGGTTTGGTCCCCATTGCGTTCTGTGAAGCAGGCAGCCACGTGAGCTCTGCACATGTGCCAATGTGCAAGTTCCAGGGGGAGACCCTGAGATGGTTACCCTCCTGGGTATATAAGAACTGCAAATCAATAAGCAAAAGAACCCAGGTCTAAGGAAGAGAGCTCTCCACTGGCCTCTACATGAGGCCTCTACAGTCTTTCTGTGGCTGCTTTCCTCTAAGGAGGCCCATCTCCTGTTTTTCAAGGCATGTAAGAGACCTCCAGACCTTGTTTCCTCCTGATTTTTCATGGACCAAAAACTTAGAATATTCTTGTAAGTTTTTGATCTTAAGACACGACAGTTACTCCTTTCCCCTGTCTCACTCCACATCCATGTTAATCTTTAGTAGCTCATATTCCACTTACAATCCTGTGTCTGAAGAGACATTTGTTCTCTTAGATTGAAGTGCTGTTGTTTGATATTGTTTTTAGGTATGAACATGCTAATGATGATAAGAACAGTTTGAAATCAGACCCAGAGGGGGAAAATATCCATGCTGCACTCCTGAAAAAGTTAAATGAACTGGAATCTGATCTTACATTTAAAATGGGTAATTACTGCTTTTATAAGTGAAGATCTTTGGAGGGACATTTTCTATAATGGTTAGAAGAAAACAGGTTTCCTCTTGGGAGGAAGCTTTGGCTCAGTGCAGATGGAAGTGCGGCTCTTAGGGCGAGTCCTCCTCCTCAATAGCCTTCCGCACCTTTCCCTGTTGAGCAGTGTCTTCCTCACTCTGTGAAGGAGGCTCCTTCTGCATGGTCCTGGTTATTATAAAGGAAAGTGGCCCAGGGCTCACCCTCATCAGAGGACTTGGGAGCCAAGCTTGTCTGTTGTTTCCACAGGCCCTGAATACAAAAGTATGAAGAGCTGTATCTACATTGGCATGGCAAGTGACGACACAGATGTTTCCGAACTAGTGGAGACCATTGCAGTCACAGCCCGGGAGATCGAGGAGAACTCCAGGGTCCGTAAGACCAGTCAGTGTTTAATACCTTTTCTAGGTCTTGGTTGGCCAGCTAGTTGGGGTCCTGAAGGAAAAGGCTACCCTCAAAAATGTCTGAGTTCTTTCCCAAAAAGCTTGTCATTGTTGCTAGGCGTGGTGCCAGGCATCAGGAATGCCAAGTGGGTGTGACATAGTCCCTGCCCTGGTGAGCTCACCAGGCAGTGGGGAGAGGCACATTCAGCCAAGAAGCGTGGTGCGGTGCAGACTATGGATGGTAGTGACTGAGCACTCTCAGAAAGGAGCTAGCATGGCTTGAGTGGATGAGGCAGGTGTTTCTGATAACGGAGACTTCCCACCAGAAACAGACCTGCCCCTGTTGGCCACTTGGCATGGAGGTTGAGGGTACAAGGATGAGGACACACTGTCCAAACCAGGCATGTCTGAGAGAAGCAGACATGTGTTATGTAATTCCTTTGGGTAGTGTGGGAAGAGAAGGAAGTTTAAAATAAGGCTAGATACCAGCTGCATTCCCTGTGGGGTGGGCTTCTACATTACTTCTGACTCTTTCTCCACAAATGTTGAACAGCATGTTTTCCATTGATGCAACATTCAGGTTTTAAGTAGTTATTTCTCTGTTGCCTGGCAAATGTAGGCAGTCGCCAAGATGTGTGTGTCTGGGCCTCCATGAGCATTTTATACTCTGATTTTTTACTTTCATTTTTACCAGTGTTTTAATGCAGAATCTACTGATATATTTTTGAAAAATGTCCCAAATGTTGTGCTCATAGTTCTTCTAGGCTGTAGGCAAGAGACTTAGGCAAATAATGCCTTTCTTGGTCTTACACAGCTTCTGGAAAACATGACGGAAGTTGTTCGGAAAGGAATTCAGGAAGCTCAGGTCCAGCTGCAGAAGGCGAATGAGGAGCGACTTCTGGAAGAGGTGAGGCCACCACAAGGACTCCCAGCTGCCATGGGCTGGGAGGGGGCTCAGCAAGGCCATTCTGAGCAATGGTTATGTTTTACAGGGAGTGCTGCGGCAGATACCTGTAGTAGGATCCGTGCTGAATTGGTTTTCTCCAGTGCAAGCTTCACAAAAGGGAAGAACTTTTAACTTAACAGCAGGTAGGACTCTGCTCTCACTTACCTGAGAGTTTTAACCAAACACCTTGAGTTTCCAGCTCCCCTTCTGCTAAGAAGTCTCTTCCATTCCCATTCTCTATCCCTGGGTCCTCTGCCAGGCACCTGAGGAGGTGAAGCATGTCTGCCCCTACTGTTATCACCTTCCTTCTCCCCAGACAGCTGACACAGCCCTACAAGGCAGGCTCGGTGCCTTGAAGCAGTGGAGACATGTTTGTTCAGAACCTTAAGGCAACGGGGTTGGACACCTGAGCTCAGGGTTACTGTTCCTTGTAGTTCCCAGCAGAAGCTACTCTAAAAAGTGGGCAGCCAAGTCCACAGCACGCAGCGCTAGGACATCTTGTTTAACCCAGGCAGGCAGCCAGCAGTGTTACCAGTCACTGGAATTTGGGGAAGATAGTAAAGCCTATGACTTTCTTTCCTGCTCTGTGAAGGAAATAATATTCCCAACCCCTAGGTCCCTCCTTTGTTCCTTCCCCAGGAAACGATGACTGCATTGTCATAACAGCAAAAGATAATCTGATTTCTAATCTGCCAAGCCTCGGCCTTTAGCAAAGAGGTGTCTGTTTCTTCTTGCTAAAGTGCATTCTGCAGCTGGGCCTAGCTCCCCAGGGGTGCTTGTGCACACCACTGGCCACACGTTCCCAGGGACTCAGGAGACAGGAGAGGATACAACACTCAGCAGGGTGGCCAAGTGAGCCAGCTGCAGCACAGCTTTTCCTAGTTCTCAGCACATTTCAGGAATACAGTGTCTCCACTAGTCTGGGAAGCTGAATGGCTAGTCACAGCTTATTAAGGCACCAGGCCAATTAAGGGCAGGTGGCATCTCCCAGGACAGCCTCTGCCAGGAGCTTCCACCCACTCCTGTCCTTTTTTTTCCTGGCAGGCTCTCTGGAGTCCACAGAACACACATATGTCTACAAAGCACAAGGTACAGGAGTGACACCACCTCCAACCCCCTCAGGCACTCGAATCAAACAGAGACTTCCAGGTACCTCACATCTCCATGTTTTGAGTTCATTAACAAGGAATAAAATTGGTTGTATTTCTCTTGGGAAAATAGACCTGGGCATCACGTATAATAGTTTTTCCCTGTTTGCTGCATTCCTGTGGTTTCCTGGTTCTTGAATCCAAAGTCCTATTTCTCTTAAGACCAACTATCCCTGTCACTAACCATTAAGTAGTCTTGAGATTTAACCTTAAAGAATTCCTCAGTGGCATTCCAAGGGACACATAAGGTCTGGGGAGCTGGCAGTATTTTCACCACGGTGCTTACTCTTCTGAGCTTTTATTAAGAGAACCTCAAAAGGTTGCAGCTTGGGAAGTATGTTAATGTCATAGTAGCAATTCTGGGTTTACCTCTTAAGGTGGTTCAGAGGCAGAAACTGCAGGGTTCCTGATGAAGCAGTTACTGTGAGGTAAAGCTATGCTGGCTGCAGAACGCCACGGGCAGGCGTCTTCGCTCAGCACCGCCCACCCCATCTTTCTCTAGGCCAAAAGCCTTTCAAAAGGTCCCTGAGAGGTTCAGATGCTGTGAGTGAGACCAGCTCTGTCAGTCACATTGAAGACTTGGAAAGGATGGAGCACCTATCCACTGGACCCGAGCAAAATACCCAAGAGATGGCCCATGGCCCTGAACAACCCCCTGGGGATTCTGTCCCTCCAGCTAGCCATCCCGAGGCCCTCCAGAACAGGGCCCAGCACCCTGAAGATGACCACGCACAGGTAGAAGAGCTGGAGAGCTTAAGATAAAACGCAGCTGGGTGGAGGGCGGAGTGACTGCTGTCCCGGGAGGGGAGTTGTGTTGAAAATGCGAACTGTGCCACATGCTCACACGACAGGAGTGACTTATTTGTGCTAAACAATAATTTTTTTTTTTTTTTTGCACAAACACATACCTAAAAGCCAGGCTTTCTAGGAGGGCAATCGATGATTTTATATGTATGTAAAACAGCCAAGTACTACTGTTTCTGGCACACCCAACTATAGTAATCCCATTTCCCCCCAAGTTATCATAAACACTTTTTATTCAGAAAGAATATTTAAAATTTCGGGTGCCTGCCATTTGAAACACTTTCATCTTTCTGAATATAAGCATAAGTTGTTAGGTTGCACATAGTGACTTTGTGGCAAAGCAGCCTTCATTAGGACTCTGCAGGTTCTCTGCTGGGCTTCCGTAGAGGGAGACCACAGCATTCGTCCATCTGGTTCAAGGGTCTCTAGTGTGATCGAGTTGGATTGGTTGGCTTCAAGGAGAACAGGTCTCAGCGGGACAGTGAGAGTATAAGAAGCTGCCTCCTGCTGTCTCCAACTGCTGCTTTTCCTGGAGATTGAGTAAGGACTGTGTCCACCAAACTGTGGCAAGGCTTCTGTCTGGAACTGTCCTCTGCCACAATTCCTTTTCTCCCTTTATATACTCTTTATAAACAAATTTAAGGACTCATCTATTAAGAGTAACTCTAACATCTCTTTCTGACCATGTGTGTGTGTGTGTGTGTGTGTATATATATATATATATATATATGTGTGTGTGTGTGTATACACAAACATATACATATATATGTATATTTTTAAATACTGGTAAAGCTTTTAAATCAGACTGAGCTCGTTTCTGTTTAATATCTGAAAGCCCGAAAGAGGCTGCTCTGAAGAGCCCGACACTAAGTATGCTGTGCAGTGCTCCTTAGGTGGAATTCTCAAGTAAGTACCTTTGACCTGTCACTCTGGAGCACCTCCAGCTTCTCTTCCACTTGTAGCTCATCCTGGGCCCAGCTCAGAAAGGAGAGCCAGAGAAGTCATCTCTCCCAGTCTGACCAGGCCAGACTGCTGCAATTACTGAATTAAGCTCCTCATTCCTGCCCATTTCTACTATCCCAAAGCACCGCATTCCTTCCAATCGGGCCCCTGTGCCTTTTTTTTAGCCTCACAAAGTCAAGCAATGGGAGAGCATAGATGGGGAGGAATTCACAATGGATCTGTGGATTACAGTGTTGGAGCCTTAGTTATGCCACATTAAGCCTATAATTATACTGATTTGATGTGATTTTTGACATTTGGCACTTGTTAAAATGCAATTTTCCTTTTTTTTTTTTTTTTTTTTTGCGGGGAGGGGTGCAGATGATCAAACACAGTCTTCCCTGTTTATTTGGTGCAATGAAGTATAGCAGATAACCAGGGGGAGGGGTAAATTATCACCTTTAACAAGATTAATTTTTAAATGTTTTTATATATATATTTGGAATTGTTAAATTGGTTTTGCTGAAACAGAATTTCATCCTCGAGATACTATTTGAATGTTGATTTCAATAAAGGTTCTTGAAATTGTTACCACTGAACTCAAGTTTATAAATCTTACCACTAAGTAGGCACGGTGACTTCCTTTTGGATGGTAACTTTAGAAACATGAAAGGTTTCTAAAAATATAAATTGTATAATAACCAAAGTTTGGGCATTTATTTTAACGACCTTATACTTAAAGAACAGTGATTTGGTATAATTCTCCGATCAAATTTAGTCTGATAGGAGACTATTTTAGAGGTTGTTATATTGGAGAACAAGAAGATGAAACTTTTTTCTATTTTTTTTTTAAAGAGAGAGAGAGAGAGAGGGAGAGAAAGAGAATTTTTAATATTTAATTTTTAGTTATCGGCGGACACAACATCTTTGTTTGTATGTGGTGCTGAGGATCAAACCTGGGCCGCATGCATGCCAGGCGAGTGCGCTAGCGCTTGAGCCACATCCCCAGCCCTGAAACTTTTTTTCTAGTAGAGCAATTTTGGATATGAAGCTTCTAAAATAATCTTAGGTTAGAAAACTCTTAACTATATATAAATCTACAATGAATTTTGCTGCATTTAAATACTGTTTTTCAGACAAAATTATTGATTTTACTTGATTCACTAATGCAGCAGAATTAGGAAGACGTATGCAAGTGTCTGAAATAGCCATTTATACACCAGTGGGATAGGTAATTTTTCCTGTGTCCCTTATTACTGGCAAAAAAAAAAAAAAAAAAAAAAGGTTGGGCATGGACCTTTTTAGTAAAGCAAAAAGTAAATCTAAACAAATGCCTTTGCCAAAATAAGATTTTATTTTGAAAGTCATTTGAGAGACACTGAGGAAGGAAGGAAACCTAAGACTCAATGGTGTATATTCCAAATTTATCTTCTTTCCAAACCCCACCGATGGTCTTTGTCATGCCAAAATGTAGATTTCTTTGGTAATTCCTACATTTAGCTTCCTGGAGGAGAGATCTTTTCCCATAAGCCATCTTTGTTTTTCTTGTAGAGGAGAGCTTTATTTCCAGGAAACAGCATATTCATTGGAGAGGGGTATTTCTTTAAAAACATCAAGGTAGATCTGATATGTTGAACAAAGTGGGGGGGCTCAGCCAAAGGGGAAGTGGAAAGGTTCTGAAAAACAAGATTGTGGGCTTGAGAGAAGAGGAAGGTGGCTCTATGCCTTGTTTTGATAAAGATGTCAGAATATCTTTGTGTTCTATAATCATTAATCAGGACATTCTCATATTGATAGCTAGTTCTCTATGTACATATCTTGTACAGTAAATACAGTAGATTCCTTATTGCTTCACCTATATAGTTACCCGGGACATTACTTATCCCCAATGGGTCTTCCAATGACTTCAAGAAAGTAAATATTACCGCTGAAGGAAAAGCAGCTATTATCTAGTCTAAATCGTTTTTTTTCTTACAGATGAGAAAACCAGGGTCCAGAGATCTAAGATTTACCCAACCTGTAAATTCTCACCTCTAGTATTTGCTTATCATCTTGCTGCAACCAGAAATCCACATGTGGAAATGGCATCCAGGAATACGGGCCTATCCGAAGTTGCTCAGTCTTTGCATCATAAATGCTAATCATCTAAAAGGGAACAGTTCAAGGATAGGACATCAGGAATGTTACCCACTTCTCAAACCCTATGGTTACTTGAGCTCCCAGTGTAGTCTAGTTCAAAGGCACCCTTCCAGATGATAAGCTGCTTAAAAATTGTGTTTCACATAATAACAAAGTTGCCACCTACTGAAGTGTGTTTGGTGCTGCACTTTGTGGGGAAATGTTTTTAGCTGTGTTTACTTCTGAGAGTAGTCCTGCAAGGAGATGGCAGTCTTCCCACTTTGGATGAAAACTGGAGACTCAGGTGGCAAGTCACCTGTCCAGTGAGCATCAGAGCTGGGCCTCACAACCAGGTGTGTCTGACTGACACACCTATACTCCCAGGGCTGCACAAAACTTTGTCTTATCATTCATATCCCAAGCAACTGATCACCTTGCAACTTAAAAAGCTCACAATACAGGCTGGGGATATAGCTCAGTTGGTAGAGTGCTTGCCTCACATGCACAAGGCCCTTGGTTCAATCCCCAGCATCACCAAAAAAAAAAGGAAGTTCACAATGCTTGATGCCCCATCAAAAGAAAGGAAACATCAGCTTATAAAAGCTGATTTATCAAGAGATCTATCCCCTGAATTCCCCCCAAAAATTTTTAGTTTTCGGTGGACACAACATCTTTGTTTGTGGTGCTGAGGATCGAACCCAGGCCGCACGCATGCCAGGCGAGCGCACTACCGCTTGAGCCATATCCCCAGCCCTGAATTCCCAAAATCTGTCAATGATAATTTTCAGAGCCAGATGTGGTGGTACATGCCTGTAATCCCACCAACTCAGGAGGCTGAGACAGAAGGATCATGAGTTCAAACCCAGCTTCAGTAAAAGGGAGGCACTAAGCAACTCAGCAAGACCCCGTCTCTAAATAAAATACAAAATAGGGCTCAGTGGCTGAGTGCTCTGAGTTCAATCCTTGGTGTAAAAAAAAAAAGATAATTTTCAGCTTAATCAACAAGAGTCAGTTTTGGTTACTAAAACTGAAATGTGTTCTGGATATTAACCAAATTAGGATTATTATGCTACCTTGAATAAAAATGAATCCTAAACAAGATTGGCCAAACAAATCACCCTGACTCCAAACATATTTTCCTATGAAAATGTCAGCATTTCACAAACAAGCAAACTTCTGATTTTTTTTTTGAGTACTTTTAAAGACTTGTTCAAGCCATCCCTCAAATGAGATGTGTAAGTCTTGAGTTTGTATTTTTTTTTAACAGTACTTGGAGTAGAATGCTGGGTGCTCTACTACTGAGATATATCCCCATCCCTTTTAGAGACAGCTTGGGCAACTGAGTGAGACCCTGTCTTTAAACTTGTCTCTCACTTGTCTGGGATTAGAGGTGTACACCACCATGCCCAGTTATTTTCTAATTTTTTTAATTAGAAAATAATTTGAAAGAATTAAAAAGCATCCTAAGCACCACTTTTTTTTTTTTTTTTTTTTTAATGCATCCTAGGGGCTGGGGAATGTAAATTAGTTGTAGAGCATCTGCCTAGCGTGCACCAGGCTCTGGGGCTCATTCCCAACACTACCAAAATGGGGGATGGGGGAGTACCCTAAAGGAAATTAATGTTTCAAATTGATCTGATCATTTTGGGGGTTAATTAAATCATTCCAGGACACTGCTTTTCAGTGACTTGGTCCAAAAGAATGCATGATCCCAAGTGCAGAGGAGAGGAGCTCCCCTCTGCCTTTGTAGGAAAGATACATGGAAAGTTGTTAAAATGAAAAGAGGTTCATTCTCTTTGGATCTAGACATTGTGGATTCATACTTACATCCTCCTGCACCTAAAAAGGCAGAGAACCTGGGATCTGGGTTATAACCCAAAATCAATCTTGAGCTTTAAAGAGGCAGACATGAGCTTTTCTAAGTTCTTTAAAACTCGAGCCTTTGGTGTTTCATTCATTTTCCCTCCTCACCCCCCTAACACAACAACGCGTTCCCACTCACGGGGCCTCCAGCTAAAGCTCGGGCAGCTCGAAGCTCCTCCTCGGGGCCTCGATCTTGAAATGTAGCTCTGTATATCTCCGCTGTTTTAATGTTGACAGCTGTGAGGGACAACAGGATGAGTTTGAATTGACAAAAGACTTACACAGTCTTACATTTCTACCATCATGTAAGAGCCAGAAGTTGAGAGAAAAGATTGGGAACTAAATAGTGACTGGTGTCTGTAGCCTCCCCCCTCTGGAAAGGGACAGCACAGTCTCTGTGCCTTGAAAATAGCCGAGGCCTGAGCTGGGCCAGGTGCGACATGTCCTGCCCCAGCCGTGCCTGGCAGATACTCAGCAAGCACATGGCAAAGCCATCTGGTCAGCCCTATGTCCACATGCTATCATAGTGTTCTTAACTTGAACTTTTAAGAGTTTTAGACACATAGTTACAGAGTAAGATGATGAGCACCTGCATATTCACCATCCAGCTAAATAAATACAAGGGTACAGCAGAACCCCTTTGCAAATACAGACCATCACATACCACATCCCCGAGAATCCTAGGCACTGTCACAGGAAGGAGAAAGGTTCTGGATAGCCTGAGAAGTGTACACTTTTTTCTCAATAAAGACCTTACCTTGTTCCCAAAGTACGCACAGATCCAGATGCCCCACTCCCTCCCCACAGGCTCACACACAGGCCTGTATGGCCCTATTGGGTCCTGTGCAGGTGGGCAGTGTATACTGTGCATTGCTGTCTTTTGCTCCCCAGAGTCTCAGGTTACGGACGTTGTGGCAGTTCCACAGTTAAAGGTTAGAGAGGTCAAGTTGCATGCCCAGGGTCTCACAGTAAAAAGAGGAGTCCAGCCTGCCGTGCAGTGACGGCAGTAGGGATCCTCCGTCAGATTCTGATCTGAGTCCGCCTTTTCAACAAGAACCCAATCCTCCAACCCATAAGTAAACACACTACTTACCAATGCCATAAATTATTGGAAAGTGGTTTTCATTTTCTTCTCGGTCATTTAATTCTAAGAAATTAAGAAAAAAAAGGTTTAAGATATAATCGTTAAGAAGCTGTAAACAATTGTTATTCACTGTGTGTAATAACAGAGGAGGAGCCCTCACTGCACAAGGGGCAGACATCAGAAAACCAGACGGTGGCAGTTTCCCTGCTGAGTAGAGGACCCTGGTGCTTCCCAGGCATCTGCCAAGCAGGGGTCAGTTCCTCTGATCAGGACCTCCTCTCCCAGAGAGGAGAGGCAGGCTCTGACAGTCCTGAGGAGGGAGATGCAGTCCATGTGGAGAGAAGAGTCCAGAACCTGCACTAGGGTCTGACATGGGCGGGGTGGGCGGTGGTGGCTAGAGACGGCCAACAAAGCTGGGACAACCTCTGTGTGTCTTTTCCGACTTGGGTCCTGGTGCTAGTCCTGCAGGAAAGTTTTGGGCAAAATGTACCTGAACCCTGCAGCTTGTTTTGGCAAAACTTACCTGTCACACATAATGTCACCAAGTGAATGTCATCTTCTTGTTTGTCAAATTCACCTATAATTAGAATTTTAAAATTGGACGTCAAACAAGTTCCTCTGGGCAGAACACACTGCTGAGCAAGTCAAGACAGGGGCAGAGGCGGAAGCCAGCTGAGCACTTGCCTCGCCCTCCTCACAGCCACCACTTGGGCTGAGGCCAGACACACGCTTAGCCTCAAGCCCAAAGGAGAGACGACTAAGCCTTTCCATCTTTATCTTCCTTCTCAGAGCTTTTGGGGGACACACAGACCCCTAAGAGTAGACTTTAATAACTCCTCTTCTTATCACCTTTTATCCCCTTGATTATCAGGGTCATAAAAAATCTGGTGAGGCTGGTGGTGAAGCTCAGTTGCAGAGCGCTTGCCCAGCATCCCCTGGGTTCCATGTCCAGCACTGCACACATGTATACAAGAAAGTATGGTCATCGTGGAAAATACAAGGGGGCATAATGAAGTAACTATCCTAGCTGTGTCAATACTCAGTCTCTCTCCTTCCCTCTTTTTCTGTGGACAGTTGAGCCCAAGCATAGAGTCAATTTCATACCCACTCACACCATGTAGACAATTTTATATCCTCTCATACACATGGGAAAATACACATGTACAAGCTTAAGAGCTTGTAATTCAAAGTTCTTTCAGTAACTTTTAGTGACTGCATAACTTACTGATAGTTATCAGATTATTGTTTCTTGTAAATAATGTTCTATTGCTCATCTCTGGGCATAAATCTGTGTGCGTTTCAGATTACTTGCTTAAGATTCCCAAAAGGAGAATGATGGGTCAAACCTTTTAAAAACTTAAGCCATGATGCCAAGTCACATCATCTTCTGATGGCTGCCCCATGTGTATTCTGGCCTGTGTGTGTGCCAGCCTCACTGCTGTGCTTTAAGACAGGACAGTGTTTTGTTGTTGGGTTTTTTTGCTAATAGGATTTAAGTATCAGTGTTTTAGATTCTGCAGGTTAAAATGGACATGCCCACCAGAATGGTTCTGTTCTTTATATAATTTGGATCATTTACTATACTAGAATGTGCCAGTTGAAAATCTTGACTCCATTCTGTTGGCCCCTCCAAATTTCGCTCCATGCTGTTCTACCTCTGAGTTCAGTTCCAGCTGAGCAGGACCATTTCTTCATCTACTCCAAGTCTGCCCTCTTAGGCTTCATTCTAGTTGGGATTTTTAACAAAAAATAGGTGGAAAAAAAAAAAAGCAAAAAATAGGTGGAAATCTTTATCCAACTAGAGACAGAAACAATGAACTTACTAAGAAGTTGGTGAGTAAGTTTTTGTGACAACTGCCTGTCATCACTGAAGCCTCCCACGAGGTGCACTTCCAGCCTGGCAAAGAGACGGCACGGTGGTCAGAGCCAGGACAGCACGCGGCGGGGCACGCTGGTTCTGCTTTGATTTTTAGTTCTGAGCTTCCACGAACCCCTGCTCCAGGATGCTTCTGGCCTTTTTCATTCACAACACACAAATTTGGGGCAAACTGGGAATGTGGGTGGCGCTGCCAAGGCCACTGGCAGTCTTCTGAGGACCCTGCCCAGCTTCCCTGATGACGGAGGGGATGGCCATCTGAACACAAATGCAGTGCCACCTGTGCAGAGGTGAGAAACTGCTCTAGAGGAACACAACTGCTTCGTCATCCACCCACCCAAGTGAGACACTTTTAAAATTTCTTGAGGTCCTCACCCAGAAGGAGCTGGGTGAGATGTAAGAGAGGGCTCCCTGGCACGTAGACACTAGGTGGGTGCTGCCTCCTCTGAGGGGTTCTCATCAGCATTTCCAAAGCACAAACCTAGGACCCAGGACACCAGACCTTCCCACAGTGTGAGCACAAACACGGCCCCATGAGACGGGAACAAGGGGTAGTTTGAGAAACCGTGCCTTTTGTGACCTCTCCCTCGGAGTCCCCATGCACCAGAGTACAGTAAAGCTCTGACAAGTGATACAACTACAGCACCCAAACTAACTGTCTGACCCCATTTCTCATACTTGACCTTCTCCATAGCCTGTAACAACCTGGGAGACTCGTGCTGGGGGAGGGGAGAGGTGCTGCCATACTGCACTGATGTCCACCAAGACACACGACCTTCCTAAGGAATGAACCAGAACCACTATGTACCCTGTACAGGGTGTGGCATCAAGTGGCCTCATAAGAGATGTTAAATAGTAAGAAGGGCTGTGATCACTGGCTTTGTGACCACTGGACTACCAGACTAGGCTCCGGGCTTCCACAGTAACCAAATCAGTTCCCCTAGGAACAGACCAGGAATAGCTGATGACCATGTTCTGAGAACCACAGAGTCCAGGCCCAGCGTCAGGTCTAGGACATAACCTGCTGGAGCCAGTACAAAATGAACCTGCTGTTTCGCAACTGCGCAGGTCACAGCAATGAGGCCTGCCAGCCTGTGGCTGACCCAGCCAGAAGAGAATTACATTTAAAATTGGGGGCTGGGGCTGTCAGCTCAGCACACACTTGGCGTGTGTGAGGAGGCCCTGGGTTCAGTCCTGGGGACCAAAGGAAAAAGAAAAAATGTTTCCATTGCTTTGAGTTCATGAGTAAAACTGATGGAGCTTCCCTGGGATTCTAAGCACTTGCATATCACTGGACTAGCTCACTCAATGCCCACCAACAGAATGAGTCAAGCCTGTGCAGTGACAGGAAGGAGGGGCACAGGTGTGAGCAGAGGTGTGATGGTGGCCTGAGTGAGAGGCCCAGCACTGATCTAGCCTCTAGCCGTGTGACTCCAGTATACTTCCTCTGTGCGCCTGTCAAATGGAGGGAGCACGGGGGCTGAGAGGAACACATGGTCTTGGGGGACTGCCAGGTCTGGGGCCAGTTCTACCCAGCAATCCACACCCAGGCCACCACTGGACTGGGATGTCAAACTGCCCCTCGCTCCAGCCTCCACACGCTGCTTCCCTGCCTTGTCCCCCCACACACACACCAGACACCCCTGTGGTTTCCTGGGCCCGCTCCTCCCCTGAGAGAGCACCATGGGGCGGCACGTGCTTGGCTCTGTGGCCGGCTGCTGCTCAGAGGAAGCATTTCAACAAGCAGTTGCTGAGCGAGAGAGGCCACAGCTGCAGTACCAGCAGCATGTGATGGGCCCAGCCCTAACAGCACATCTCTAAAAGTGGAACGACAGGTTCGGGGTCCCACCTGTGGAGAACCCAGCACTGACTACCTGCCTGCACCTGGGACCTGTGTACTCACTCACTCACTGCTGCAGCAGTGCCAAGGCGGGCTGCGTTCTCAGGGGAGCAAGCAAGGCATGGTAGTGTCACGATGCCACGAAGTTCCCAATTCACGAAAGAGTAGCATGGAGCTCACCTTCCACTTTGAGCGTGGTCAGAAAAGGATTTTATGGAGTTCATGATCAAGGGGACCTCGGCTTTGGTGTCAGTTCCATCACAATGCGTCAGGCAGGTAGCCCCATTACCTGAAGAACAAGGGTGAAATGACTCAGGTTATTCCCCAGGGGAATTCAGGAAGCAAGCCAGGACTACTCCTGTCCACTCAGCTGCCTCATCTTTGAATGTCCTGTTTAAAAAAAAAATAGAAAAGGCCGTGCTGCCCAGCCAACCCATTCTGACCAGGGCGACAGGGAGGTACCATGCAGACGAGAGAGAAGGTAAGCCAAGTCAGCTTTCAAACAGGTACCAGGAAGCTCAAGGTGAGAAGGGAAATGGTCCCACACTGCTGGGCCGGTTTAAGCAATGGTGTCCTCCACCTCTCTCATCATACCTGTGTGCCTCAGGACCACAATGTGACAAGTAGTGGCATCATCAGAACCCAGAATGGAGATGGAGCCTGTTTGAAAAAGAAATAAAATAAAATATCCAGTAGCCTTTTGGGATAACGCCCAATTCACTGCTTCCTAACCTACCATCCTTTGGGGAGGTCACTGCAAGCTCTCTTTGCTGAACATACAGAAGGCCCTGGGGTCCCACTTGTTGAACAGACTGACCTCTGAGAAGTCTGGCTCTTTCCTGTTTAATTAAAAAAAATAAAATAGTGATGTGAATTAGTGAGGATTGAAATAACTAAATAGGTGGAGAGAGCCAAAGTGTGCTCTGCGTGGGAAGCACGCTGGCGTATCTGGAATGTCATGTGACAGGCTGAGATGAGAAGCAGCGTAGCATTCATCTGGAATATGCCCAGGAGATAAGCCATTTTACCTATAAGAGTCAAGATCCTCGATCACAGTTCTTCACTCAAGAGGGAGTGACTCCTGACTGTGTTAACAGTAGTGGCTCCAAGGCCATGGCCCTCCTTCTCTTCCTCTAAGAGCAGGCTAGGACTTCCCTGTCCCCTCATCTACTCACCCCACTTCCAGAACTCTGTACTGAGGGCCATGGCTGGGTTATTTAGAGCAGCAGAGAGCCGCGGACAGCAGGAGGCCTCGTCAGTTACGTGGGACGAGCTCACCCACTAACTGCAGTCAGGAATTAGGAAGGACATGGGAGGAGTTTTGAGTATTAAGTGAAAGGCAAAACTGGACAGTTTTTTAAAGAGCTATAAATACACTATTCATCAACAAGGGTAAAACGCTTATTCACACGAGAAAAAGTCACCAACAAAACCACAGTTGGGCTGTGCCACCACAAAGGACTTTACTGCGGCTGTTGTCTTCTATGGTGTCTTTTTTTTTTTTTTTGTATTGGAGACTGAATCCAGGGACACTTAACCACTGAACCACATCCCCAGCCCTTTTTATTTTTTGAGACAGGATCTCCCTAGATTGCTTACAGCCTCCCTAAATTGCTGAGCCTGACTTTGAACCTGCATCCTCCTGCCTCAGCCTCCTGAGCCACTGGGATTACAGGCATGCACCACCATGCCCAGCTATGATGTCATTAAAGTAGAAAAACAAAAAGAAATGAGAATTTATGAAGGACATATTAACATTAGATGTCAAAAGATTTGTCTAGTTGGGTATTTGTATAAATTCTTATGCTGAAAATCTATTTTTAAAAAAGAGACTTTAGGAGCTGAGGGTGTCATCTATGCTAGAGCACTTGCCTACCTACCATGCACGAGGCCCCAGTTTCCAACCTGAGGATAGAGAATTTTGAAAAAGAATTTAGGTGTTAAATTCTTTAATGAAAGCTGAATTAAACATTTTTAAATGTCAAACTGATAAAACACTAACCTGCATTATTTCCTTCTTTATTTACAAATAAATACCTCAATGAAAACACTTACTAAAATGTGTAAGAGTATATTGAACCCAGGAGCACTTAACCACTGAGCCACATCCTCAGCCCTCTTTTTTTTTTTAATTTAATTTTTTTTATTTATTTATTTATTGATTGATTGATTGATTGATTGATTGTGCTGGGGATTGAACCCAGGGCCTTGTGTATTCAAGGCAAGTGCTCCACCAACTGAGTTATATCCCCAGACCTATTTTTTTTTTTAATTTGGAGATTGGGTCTCACTAAGTTGCTTATGACCTCGATAAGTTGCTGAGGCTGGCCTAGAACTTGCAATCCTCCTGCCTCAGCCTCCTGGGTTGCTAAGATTTCAGGTGTGCGTCACAGCACCTGGCTGTTTTACAGACTTGTATAAGCTTTTTGCCATTCTGATACCTTCTGCTAACTTAGGTTTTGGGGTGAATCAATAAAAGATGTAGTAAATGACAAGTTTGACTAGTTGTTCATCGTTTTCTTCAGTTAAGGAATTTCCACTAACTGGAAGCAAAACAATAATTTAAAAGAAACAAGTTGGGGGCTGGGGATGTGGCTCAAGCGGTAGCGCGCTCGCCTGGCATGCATGCGGCCCGGGTTCGATCCTCAGCACCACATGCAAACAAAGATGTTATGTCTGCCGAAAACTAAAAAATAAATATTAATTTTTTTTTCTCTCTCTCTCTTTAAAAAAAAAAAAGATTCAAAAGCTAGGCTGCAATAACCAGCTTCTAAAGAGAAAAGGTTTAGCTTGGTTCACAGTGTAAGAAGTTCCAGTCTATGAGCAGTTGGCCTTGTTGCTTTTAGGGCTGTGAGATGGCACATTACAGGAGGAGCCTGTGGCAGGATTAAACCCCTTATCTCATAGTCAGGAGGAAAGAAACTACAAAAATGGACTCATCTATTAGTACAACTGAGATCTATGATTTAAAGGATAAAAATTAAAAAAAAATAAATTGAAAAAAAAAAAAGAAAGGAAAAGAAGGGCTGGGGTCTCTCCTACAACATCCCTAGAACCTAGGAGACCTCTCACCAGATCCCACCTCTTAAAGTTTCTGCACCTCCCATTAGTGCCAAGCTGGGAATCAACCCTTGAACATGTGTACCTATGGGGGACATTCCAGATGCAAACAGTAGCAATGCATGTACAAATATCTATTTTATTTCTGTATATTAGCTATACACTATTTGAAAATAAAATTAAAAAATTAATTTACAACAATATAAAACTGAATATACTGTTTGAATAAACAAGAGGTGTAAGATTTTTAGACCAAAATCTATAAAATAGCGTTGAATAAAATTTTATAAGAAGCAAAAAAAAAAAAGGAAAAACATTCCATGTTCATGTATTAGAAGATAATATCTCAAAGACAGCATTAAATTCAAAATTTAGCCACAAATTCAATGCATTCTCTTTTTTGTTTGCAGAAGTTGGGAAGCTGAACCTAAAATTCATATGGAAATAAAAGAGATACAAATAGTTTTGGTGAGTGACAAAACAATATTTTATTAAAAAACCATATTTTGGAGAATATGTATTCATACAAATATTCATCTGTACCTCCACTCTTCTCCAATTTTGGGAGCCTTTCATTAGTGAGATTGTTTATAATTCAGGGAAGAATAAATGTAAAATGGCCACGTACTTCCTTCCCTGTCATTGCATATAAACTGTGAGTTTGGCTCAGGGATTAAAAAAAAAAAAAAAAAAAAAAGCAAGAGCCTGGTATAAAAACAGAATTGAGATGTTTTAAATTAGGGAACAGGGACCACTGGAGTGTGTTTACAAAACTTCTGCCCCATGAGGTCTTCCTGAGATGAATTGACATGCCCTTCTCAACATGAGAGAATCGAGCATGGTATTTTGATTTTTAAAATGTCTCCTCACACTCTGCAGTTCTTAGCAGCCCAGTGAGAGAAAGGCAGGCTGCTGCCTCTGGATTTAACTGACAAATGAATTCTGCTCATTCAGAGAAA